GCCTTGATTTTGTCAGAGTTATTCTCGATTCCCCGATTTGATACCATGAAACCGAGGAACTTGCCCGACCCGACCCCGAAAGCATATTTTTCGGGGTTGAGCTTTATGTTGTATTTCCTCAAAATCTCGAACGTTTCCTGCAAGTGGGCCAAATGGTCCTCTGCTCACAAGGACTTAACTAGCATGTCATTAATATAAATTTCCATTGATTTACCTATTTGTTCTTCGAATATTTCTTTTACTAGGCGTTGGTAAGTAGCCCCCGCATTGTTTAGCCTGAAGGGTATCATATTATAACAATATGTTCCATATTTGGTTACAAATGAGGTCTTTTCCTGGTCCTCCGGGTTCATCTGGATTTGATTATACCCGGAATAGGCATCGAGAAAAGTGAGGATATCGTGGCCGACCGTGGCATCGATCATGCGATCGATGTTGGGCAGTAGAAAGGAATATTTGGGGCATACTTTGTTCAAATCCTTATAGTCCACACACATTCTAAGTTTGTTCCCTTTTTTAGGCACTACAACCACATTGGCTAACCATTAAGGATATTTCACCTCCTGAATGGACCCTATCTTGAGAAGTTTGGTTATATTGTCCTTTATGAATGCGTGCTTTTCCTCGGACTGGGGTCTTCTTTTTTGCTTCACCAATCTGAACCCAGGGTCCAAGCTTAGCCGATGCGTCGTTATGTCTGGTGGGATCCCTGTTATATCTAAATGGGACCAGGCAAAACAATCAATGTTATTGATAAGAAATCAAACAAGTTTCTTCCTAAGTTCGGGGCTCAACTCCGTTCCTAGGTATACCTTTCGTTCGGGCCAGTGCTCGATTAGTATGACTTGCTCCAGTTCCTCAATTGTTGATTTGGTGGCGTCAGAATCATCGGGGATCACGAATGATCGAGGGATCCTCTGATCATCTTCTTCGATCTTCTGGTTATCTGGCTGGGTCGAAGCCGACTTCTGTGATTGCTATTTGGTGTTCCGCTCTCCTTCTGAGCCCGATCCCTTTCTCGGCGAAGGCGGGGATACTGATTTTGCTTCCTTGACGGCGAACATTTCTTTTGCGGACGGTTGTTCTCCGTTCATTATTTCAACACCTCTCGATGTTGGGAATTTGAAGACCTGGTGTAGGGTCGAAGGTACATCTCTCATGTTGTGGACCCCTGGCCTTCCGAAAAGGGCGTTGTATCTCATGTCGCCTTCGATAACGTGCAACTTTGTTTCTTAGACGGTTCCGACCATGTTTATCGGTAGGATTATCTCGCCTTTGGTGGTTTCACATGCCATATTGAATCCGTTTAGAACCAGAGTTGCGGGTACGATCTGGTCCTGTAGGTCGAGCTGTTCTATGACCTTCAATCTGACGATGTTGGCTGAGCTACCTGGATCGATTAACACACACTTAATTTTAGTTTTATTCATGAGTAAGGATATTACCAGTGCATCGTTATGAGGTTGGATGACTCCGTCTGTATCTTTATCCTCGAAGGACAAAGTCCCCATGGGTGCGTAATCTTGAGTCCGAGATTGCTTTTCCCTCACAATCGACGTTTTAGTGCGTTTAAGCACCGGTCCTTGAGGGGTATCGACGCCGCCGATGATCATGTGAATGACGTACTGCGGTTCTTCTTGCTCGTTTTGCTTGTCGAAATCCCTGTTTTTAAAATGGTTCTTCGCTCTATCACTCAGAAATTCCCGAATGTGCCCTTTGTTAAATAAGCGGGCTACTTCCTCTCTTATTTGCCTGCAATCTTCCGTTCTGTGGCCATGGGTGCCATGATATTCACACATTTGATTGGGATTCCTTTGGGTAGGATCGGTCTGTATGGGTCGAGGCCATTTAATGTCTTAGATGCGTCCGATAGCCGACACGATGGCGGACGCACCAACACTGAAGTTATATTCTGATAATCGAGGTGTTTCTATAGGATCGGCATTTTTATCAAAGCCGCTCTTGCTCATAAGTCCCCGAGAATTTTTCCCTCGATCAATCCTTCGATTGTTCCGAACTGTATTGCGTGCTGAATCGTTGTTCATCCGATCTACGACGTACAGTTGATATCGGTCTCTGTTCGACCTTTGTTCTCTGTCGATCTCCCTTTTGTTTTAGTAGCTGTCTTGTTCTGATGCACGGGTCCATACGGGGCTCCCAACTGATCATCCTCGACCCTAATCTTCGATCGATATCGGTTGTGTATATCTGCCCAAGTTATTGCTGGATATTCAATCAAATGTTTTTTCATCCGACGTGATGTTGTTGAACTTAGCTCGTTCAACCCTTGGGTGAAAGCTTGCACGACCCAATCGTCTGTGACCGGTGGCAATTCCATGCGTTCCATTTGAAATCGGGATACGAATTCCCTCAGCGCTTCATTACCTCTTTGCTTTACTTTGAATAGGTCTGACTTCCTTGTCGCAACCTTTATGGCACAGCATGTGACTTTACGAACGAATCTACTAACATGGAAAAAGAATCGATGGAATTTTGTGGTAAATTGTGATACCAGATCATTGCTCCCTTCGAGAGGGTCTCCCCGAACTTTTTCAACAACACGGATTCGATCTCATCGTCCTCCAAATCGTTACCTTTGATGGCACATGTGTAAGAGGTGACATGTTCGTTAGGATCGGTCTTACCGTTATATTTGGGAATTTCGGGCATACGAAATTTTTTGGGGATTGGTTTTGGTTCCGCACTCGAGGGAAAAGGCTTTTGTATGAAATTTTTTGAATCAAGCCCTTTTATCATTGGTGGAGTCCCGGGATTTTATCAACCCTGGCATTGTACGTTTCCACTCTTTTGTCATTGGCTTCGACTCGTTTTGTGAGTTCCTCAAGGCATTTAGTAATTTTGGGAGTGGTCCCCGATTCTTGCTCGTTTGATTTCACTATGGCGGGCTCCGTTCTGGGGGTGATTTCTCGAAGCGGATTGGAATCCGGTCTGCTTTGTATATGAATTTGGCTCTGTAACTGAGCTATCGCTACTTGTTGGGTTTGTAGCATCTCGAAGATCATACGTAAGCCGGCCCCGATTTCTCCCGCGATATGAGTGTCTCGGGCAACGGATCGAGTATCGCCTTGAATGTTTCTTTCCGGTTCGGAACGTTGATTCACCTCTAGAGCTATTTGTGAATTGACATCCAATGGTACTTCGACTCGAATATCGGGTACTTCGATTCGAGCCTCAGTGCCATCGTTAGGTGGCCTTCCGGCCCCGGGTGCCAAGTTGTTAGTTTCACCTTGAAGGCCGACTTCGTGGTCGATAGGTAAAGCCATTGCTGATTTGAAGTTGTAAGCTGGTGTGTAGTGTAGATTTATATCACACAATCACTGTTATCCTTAGCTCCACGGTGGGCGTCAAATTATTTACCCGAAAAATCGGATAATGTTAAATTTATGTATGGTTCTAAGGATACGTAATACCCTTTGGTATAAAGATAACAATACGAGTATTTTGATTATGACAATGACAATGACGAACAGAAAGAATGAATAAGATCCAGTAAAACGAGCACAATGAGAACTTTGTATATGAGAAAAGATTTTGTTCCAATCTATTCCGTGTGTGCATAGTTTACAATGATTCCCCCTTTTATAGTAGATGGTCATTACAAAAAATAATAAAATAAAGCATATAGTAGATGACCCATGATGATTTGTCTCTTCCTCGATTCCCGCCAAGATTCTCTCTCTTGGTGCGGTTGCAACGACTCTTATCTGTGAGCTCGATACCTACTCGAACTCGTTACTGGGTCGAGCCCTTCGGTCTTGGCTCGAGTTCGACCTTCGGGATGGGGGTCGCGCATTTCCGACTTCGAAGCAGTGCCTTGCGGATCGATTCGGTCACGGGCTCGATAAGGTTATCGAGCCGACTCCTCGAGCAACCTTCGGACTCGAGGCTCGTTAGTACTGACTTCGGAGCTCACTCCCAAAATCCCACTCCGACTTCTTACCACTTGAACTCGATTGAACGTTGGAAGGCCGAAATCTATTTCAACTATATACAATAACTAACCTACTATCATCGTTTAGAATAGTTTTTCCTTCCTTCTACTTACAGTATCCTAGACTATCCATAGTCGCCTTTCCCTCGTCCACCTAGAAGAAAATTACTTCAAGAAAAAAAAAAAGTTCATTGTAGAGTAACATTTCAAAGTTAGGTCAAAGATTATATAATTGTAATGTTTGAGATAAAATATGAACAAATGATCACATGTCAGTTCTGATGTTATACTTTATTTCAATTTGCAACTTTATAATTTAGGAAGGTGAATTCATAGTATTCTGAGTTTCAAGTTAGTAGGCAAGTGGAATAAGTTGCATTTAAATTTCAACTTAGTATGATCAATGATCTTTCTAGTTCGAGTGTTCTCTAGTATAATTTAAAAAGGGTAGCCTGGTACAGTGGTTGGTGCACTAAGCTCATGTTATGTGCGAGATCTAGGGAAGAGTCGGACCACAAGAGCCTATTGTATGCAATCTTACCCTACATTTCTGCAAGAGGCTATTTTCACGGCTCGAAAACCTCCTAGTCACATGACAACAACTTTACCAGTTATGCCAAAGTTCCCTTCTTCTCAAGTATAATTAGTAATGTGAAATTTGAAAGCATATATATACCAATACAAATATACAGTCCATATAAAATTGAAAAATTATATTGATTCCGAGCTAAAAAAGTCTACAAGTAAATTAGTGACGAGGAACTTTATTTTGATAGTTCAAGAGTAGTGAAGTTCAACTTTGGCTTCAAAGTTTTTCCGTCTCTTTATTCTTGCCTAATTTCTAAGTTCTTGCTTAGTAAAAAGGACAAAAATTCCCTTTTGAGACAAATTGATTAATATGTAAGGGCAATAGTTAGAGGAAAGTAAAACATCAAAAGCACTTAAAAAATGGTTACTTCAAAATAATCGTTTAGTAAATGTAACCATGAATTCACAAACACCATATGGTATTGCATTCTGTAATTCTGAAGAAGATCTCATGTATAAATTAACAGACAGTTTCGTTTCCATTGCAGATTACAAAAATGCTTACCCTCTTATGAANGAACAATAGAACTGAATTTGGAGGAATAATGCATGTACCTAAACCACCAATACGAGGTAGTTAGCGCAAATTTAAACCTACCAAAGTCCATCCATCTCATTTTATGTGGCACATTTTTTCTTTTTTGTTTGTCCCAAGACAACTATATCCGGATGCGGCTCAAGAATATTGGGGGCATAAAGCTAAATTTTATTAAGTAACTTTAAACTTTAAAAAAAAAAAAATTGAATAACCTAATTCATGCTTTATAGTTTATAGTTGCCATAGTAGAATTCTGATAAAATAACAAAGGCAGTATTATAAGGAAAAATAGAAAAAACTAATTTCAAATTTAAAGTAAAAAATAGTAGAAATTGATTTTAGAAATTGATAACTTGATATCATAATAAAATTTGTTTTTTGAAGGAAAATTACCATAAAATGAACCTATTATTAATTTTGAAAATGGAGCCTTAAAATTTTGGGGGCCTGAAGCCATTGCTTTACTGGCTTTGCCCTTGAGCCGGCTCTGCAACTATCACATTTATATATTTGAAAACTATTTAATCTTATCATTCTTATTTTACCCTTAATGAAATGACTTGTTCTGTTCTGCTTAATATAGAAATTCACTTTTTTACGAGGAGAGATAACATAAAAGAACATGCGGAACAATTTTGGCACTTTGGATATTTAACTTATGTGGCAAACATCTTCCTTTGTTTCTTGAACTCCGTGCCAAGTCAAAAGGCCGCCACATAAAATGGGACAACGGGAGTATGCAACAAGCATTGTATGCTGAACTTGCTTACCTCCTTTACAGCCAGCTCCTCTCATTCCATATCCAAGTTCTGGAGGAATCTTCAGTTTACGCTTTCCTCCTGAAAATTAAGAGATAAGAATAGTATTTACTTTTAAAAATTTCGAAGTATTATGAAATTTGAACTATGAAATGTGCTCCTACCAGTTAACATTGGGGGAAAACCATCACCTCCTAGAATTCCCTGATCCCAACCTTTAATAACCTATAAGAGGAAAGAAGCAGCAAGAATAAGTCTATCATCTATTATTAGAAACTTCCAAGAGCTGGTAGTACAGCTACATAAAAGTAACCAACCTCGCCAACACCAACGCGAAATGTAAGAGGCTTTCCACGGTTGTAACTGCTATCGAAGACCTTCCCGTTTTCCAGCTTACCTACATAATGTGCCTGCACAACATAATCTATTAGTAATCTGATACAACTCACTATGGTACAAAGAACAGTTAGCTAAGAGTTCTGATGTCTAGTCTCACTATACCAGATCAACGAAGAACAACTTTCGACCAGTACAAAATTTATTTCAGGTTTCAGCTTTCACCCTTAGCTACCCTTATAAAGCTAGTATAACTTAAGTTTGGGTTCAATCTTTGCTTTTTGATGAGTGAAAAATCACTAAAGGCCAGTTGACGCACGGCTCCAAACAATGTGTATAATGAAACCCCCTCTACCCTTCACTTAAATAGCAGGCTTTTTGTCCACAGCAAGACTCAAATCCATGTCATGCGCCTAACCTATGCATCATAGTACTGCGCCCTTATCACTGAACCAATCTTTGCAGTGTTGATAGCTAATATAACTGCATAAAACTATCTTCTATCTAGCATTTTAAGTCTTAGATGAGACGATATGCACTATCAAACATGCTCGCATAAAACAGAGGAAGACGCCTAGGCTATTGAAGCTCTTAAGTCAATGCCCATTGTCAAACCTAGGGGAAAATATGAGTTAAGAAAGCCTTTTCTCTTCTTATGTATGTCCATCTAATCCTTACACCAAAAGAACCACCAAAAGAGGGAAAATCCTGAAATGAATCATAAATAGATTCTTATGACAAATTTTGAAACTCTGGCTTTCAAAAACTCTTAACTGAGAAAAAGGAAATCTTCTAAAATGCATAAAGAGGGCATGAGCACGGTTTAATTGATCATGTGTAATGTTAAATTTGTATTGTTACTCAATATTTGAGTGTAATATAGTTTAAAAGATAGTAAATACAACATATTTCTTTAAAAGATAATTTTAATACTCTGGCTTTCAAAAACTCTTAACTGAGAATAAGGAAATGTTTTAATGCATAAAGAGGGCATGAGCATCACATAATCTTAGTAATCCTATATGACTTACAAAACTTTTCATCATCTTCTAGCTAAAAGTTTTATCCAAATAGTTCCACACTTCAAATCTTTCTCTTTTCAAATTTACAAATACATAGAAACTTATTCCTCAGCTTTCCCTTTCTAGCTATCCCCCTTCCACTCCCATCAACGATCCGAATAGTATTTCAGTTCAAATTAAATGCTTAGACAACCCTTTTATAGATAGAGGCAGAGTCAGGATTTAAAGTTTATGCGTTCTGAACTTACCATCGAACTTATAGCTCGTCTTAATTACTAAGTTCGCAATTAAATATTTATACATATTTAATAAATTTTCTAATACAAGTATAAGGTCGAAACAAAAACTATCTAATACTCTAGCTCTTCCTTTGTTGATACATGCTACCTAACCATACTTCTTTCCAAGTTATATAGCAAATTGCAGCAAGTCTTGGTACTTACTTAAAGAAAAGAGAGGAAACAAAAAGAAAAATAACTTCTACAAGGCAAAACAACTTGACTAAACGTGCGTCTTTTACATACCTCGATCCATATTGTTTGTTCCAAACATTTAACGTTCTAGAAAATTCTTCTACTTCCTTTTTGGAAATTCACCTTTACTGATCCAATTGATGGAGCATTGTTAATCAAGTGAGACATTTAATAAGGTTCAAAGGGTAAGTTTATGTGAGAAAGGTAAAAAACAAAATAGAGGTAAAACGGTAATTTAGACAAATACTCCTAAAAGATACATAATATGAACCGGAAGCACTAGTTAAACCCTGTTTGACCAAACTTATTTTTTTTTTCAGAGTTGAAATGTTTGGCAAACTTTTGGAAGAAAAAAGTGATATTGAAGAGAAGCACAAGCCGTGCAGAAAAAAACAGTTTCTCCACAAAAATATTTTTGAGAAAAATACACTTATAAACACTTTTTAAAAGTTTGGGCAAACACTAATTGCTGCTCAGAAGTTCCTTTCAAATTAATTAACCAAACGCAAATTCTTCTCACTAAAATTATTTTTGATAAAAAATAATTCTCAAAATAAGCCGATTTTAGAAGCTCGGCGCTATTAACTTGGTTAATGCATCAATTTGTGGTCAATGCACCTTTTAGTTAAATTAACTTAGTTGGGAGTAAACACTAGGTGTGAGTAACTTTTTTACTCTCTCTTTTTTAATTTTTAATTTATGTGAACCTATTTCCTTTTTAAATTGTGTCAAAAAGAATGACTCATTTCCTTATTTGAAAATAATTTATCTTTATTCAATGATTTATAAACACACAAAATATATGCCTCATTTTTTCACCACAAGTTCAAAAGTCTTCTCAATTTTTTTAAATTTCGTGCTCAGTCAAATTAAAAGCAAATAGTGAAATCAAATAGAAGTTTCGAGAGAAAAACCTTAATTAACTGCCCTTTAACAGCTTCAGGGCCATAACCCACAACTTTATCACAATAAGACAGACCAGAAGGAATAACAGTAAATTCACACCCATTAGCTGTAGCTTCTTCTTCAGCAACTGCTTCAATATTTGACTGTGGCAGCAAAAAGGCCTCAAGAACAGTTGTAGCAAAACTTAACCCAAGTGTACTAAGTGTTTCTCTTCTTCTGAATAAAGTAGGCAATTCACTTTTCTCTTTGAGTTTATTCACAGATGAAGATAGTGAAATTGAGTCGTTTGTTTGAGAATTTTTGTTACAGAGTAACGGGGATTTGAGTGTGTTATTGTGCTTTGTGGGAATGTATGTTCCAATGGAAAAGGGAACTGAATTCATTTCCACTGACTACAGAATTTTTGAACGGATAAGAGAAGCTATGCACAGGTGCGTGGGTTTTAGCCAAGTTTTGTAGTCTGTATTTGTTTGATTTTCCCGTTTCCCCTTTTCTATTTTTTTTTAAATTTGTTTTATTATCTCATCTATTTAATATGTTGCATTTTTGTTTTTAGTTTGTTAATAACAACTTTTACATTTAGAATTAATTTAGGTATAATATCACTTTTGGTCCCGATTATTAGTCCTTGTGATGTTTGATTAAGCCAGTCAAACTGGCCAGATTGATCCGTTTCTGGACCGGCCCAGATCGGTTGACACCCGGAGCGGTAGTTAGGGGGGCGAGTGGGCTGGGTTAGGGGTTGCTCCGTTTATAAAATAAAATTCGGTTAATCGGACCGGTCAACGAAAATTATTGTTGAACCGGTTAACCGGCCCGGCCCGGACCAATTCAGCGGCTATAAATTTGATTTTTTTTTAAAAGTGAAATCACGGTTGGCAACGGTCAGCTTCAATTTGACCAAGAAGTTCATATTGATTATGATGAACTTACTAAGGCAATGCAAAACTTTTGAATTTACTCTTTTTTCGTTAATTTACTTGTTGTTAAATGTAAACTTCAATTTGTAAGTTTGAAATAAAAAAGTACTTGCAAATTATAAGTATAATTTTTTTTTTCATCTTTATTGTATTATATTATCTTAAATTCTTAATAAAATATTCAAAATTTCAAATATAAAGATTTTAAAACCTTTGCATCATTTTATTCAAACACTCTTTTTATAAGAAGATTATTTTTTTGTTTTATATTTTTACTTTATATTAATATAAATTACGATAGTTATACAAAATACAAAAAAAAAATAAAAAAATAACACTAACCCGGCCCGGCCCCTTGGACCCGTAACCCTTCTGGTTCATTTTTTACCCAAATGGACCTGGGCCCGTTAAGCCCGATTTGAAAAAATCCGTAACCGGTCCGGATTGAAAACCGGACGGTCACCTTTTTTCTCAATCCGACCCGGCCCGGCCCACCTGTTAAACACCTATATGTTTGATTAAGCACATTGAACCTTGAATTAATTAAATTGGTGCATTTATAATTCTTCTACTTGCAACTATTCATACATTTAACTATTCATACATTTACTGAATTATCAACCATTGCACAGTTTAATTGTCCATGTGTAATGTTAGTATATATAACATATTTCTTACCTAAACGCACAAAAACACAAGTTTTAGTTAACTTGAAGTTTTAAGAAAAAATGGCGTGGGATAACCATTTTTTAACATGGTATTTAGTTTTTATTCAGTATTTTTAATGTTGAGCAAAAATAGCCACTACTCTATTAAAGTTAATACGAAAAGACGTTGTTACCCTTTCTTCATGAGTGTTGTGTAAATATTAAGGACATAGTGTCCTTAACATTTGCACTGCACATATGAAGTTAAGGACATGATGTCCTAAAATTTAACAATGGAAGGTGCAAATACATGACACTTTGTCTTTAATATTTACACAACATTCATGAAATTAAGGACACCATATCCTTAATCTTTACACAACACTCATAAAGTTAAGGACAATATGTCCTTAACATTTACACTGCACACATGAAGTTAAGGAGATCATGTCCTTAACATTCAAACTGCACATATGAAGTTAAGGATATGAGGTCCTAAAGTTTAACAACAGAAGGTGCAAAAACAAGTTAAAGACACTATGTCCTTAACATTTTCACTACACATATGAAGTTAAGGACGTCGTATCCTTAACATTTACAATGAACATATGAAGGTAAGGACATGATGTCCTAAAGTTTAACAACGGAAGGTGCAAATACAAGATACTTTGTCCTTAATATTTACACAGTATTTATGAAGTTAAGGACATCATCTCCTTAATATTTACATATCACTCATAAAGTTAAGGACACTATGTCCTAAAGTTTAACAACAGAAGGTGCAAATACAAGTTAAGGACATTATGTCCTTAACATTTATACTGCACACATGAAGTTAAGGACGTCGTGTCCTTAACATTTACACTGAACATATGAAGTTAAGGACATGATGTCATAAAGTTTAACAACGAAATATGCAAATACAAGACACTTTGTCCTTAATATTTACACATTATTTATGAAGTTAAGGACATCATGCCCTTAATATTTACACAACACTCATAAAGTTAAGGACACTATGTCCTTAATATTTACACTGCACACATGAAGTTAAGGACACCATGTACTTAACATTTACACTATACATATGAAGTTAAGGACATGAGGTCCTAAAGTTTAACAACAGAAGGCAAATACAAGTTAAGGACATTATGTCCTTAATATTTACACTACAAACGTGAAGTTAAGGACGTCGTGTCCTAAACATTTACACTGAACATATGAAGTTAAGGACATGATGTCCTAAAAATTAGCAACGGAAGATGCAAATAAAAGACACTTTGTCCTTAATATTTACACAACATTCATGAATTTAAGGACATCATGTCCTTAATATTTACACAACACTCAAAAAGTTAAGGACACTATGTCCTTAGCATTTACACTGCACACACGAAGTTAATGACACCATGTCCTTAACATTTACACTACACATATGAAGTTAAGGATATGAGGTCCTAAAATTTAACAACAGAAGGTGCAAATACAAGTTAAGGACATTATGTTATTAACATTTACACTACATACATGAAGTTAAGGACGTCGTGTCCTTAACATTTACAATGAACATATGAAGGTAAGGACATGATGTCCTAAAGTTTAACAACGGAAGGTGAAAATACAAGACACTTTGTCCTTAATATTTACACAGTATTCATGAAGTTAAGGACATCATGTCCTTAATATTTACACAACACTCATAAAGTTAAGGACACTATGTCCTTAACATTTACACTGCACACATGAAGTTAAGGACACCATGTCCTTAACATTTATACTACACATATGAAGTTAATGACACGAGATCATAAAGTTTAACAACAGAAGGTGCAAATACAAGTTAAGGACATTATGTCCTTAACATTTACACTGAACATATGAAGTTAAGGACACCATGTCCTTAATATTTACACAGTATTTATGAAGTTAAGGACACCATGTCCTTAATATTTACACAGTATTTATGAAGTTAAGGACACCATGTCCTTAATATTTACACAGTATTTATGAAGTTAAGGACACCATGTCCTTAATATTTACACAGTATTTATGAAGTTAAGGACACCATGTCCTTAATATTTACACAGTATTTATGAAGTTAAGGACACCATGTCCTTAATATTTACACAGTATTTATGAAGTTAAGGACACCATGTCCTTAATATTTACACAGTATTTATGAAGTTAAGGACACCATGTCCTTAATATTTACACAGTATTTATGAAGTTAAGGACACCATGTCCTTAATATTTACACAGTATTTATGAAGTTAAGGACACGAGGTCCTAAAGTTTAACAACAGAAGGTGCAAATACAAGTTAAGGACATTATGTCCTTAACATTTGCACTACACACATGAAGTTAAGGACGTCGTGTCCTTAACATTTACAATGAACATATGAAGGTAAGGACATGATGTCCTAAAATTTAACAACGGAAGGTGCAAATACAAGATACTTTGTCCTTAATATTTACACAGTATTTATGAAGTTAAGGACATCATTTCCTTAATATTTACACATCACTCATAATGTTAAGGACACTATGTCCTAAAGTTTAACAACAGTATGTGCAAATACAAGTTAAGGACATTATGTCCTTAACATTTACACTGTACACATGAAGTTAAGGACGTTGTGTCCTTAACATTTACACTGAACATATAAAGTTAAGGACATGATGTCCTAAAGTTTAACAACGGAATGTGCAAATGCAAGACACTTTGTCCTTAATATTTACACAGTATTTATGAAGTTAAGGACATCATATCCTTAATATTAGTACATGGGTATTTTTGTCCGGGCGGGTAAAAAATTATTAAGCACTGGCTAAAAAGTAATTATATTTTAAACGGTGGCTAAAGAGTAAAGATATCTCTAATTAGTGGCTAACCGTGTACTTCTCCCAAGTTTTAATACACTTAGTTATCACAAGGACCAAAACAAAATTTATAAATAATTGAGGTTAAAAAATGCTATTAACTTTATATTTTTCATTTAACTTTATATATGACTTATTTTAAACCACAAATTTTAAAACTTAAGTTTTTCTTAATTATATACGGAATCAAATACTATCAAATAAATCCAAACTTACTAAATTGGGCTAAGGTAAAGAGGAATATTGGAATGAAAGCCAAAGCTATTACGTGAGACTCCCCTTATATCACTAAGGGGTCGTTTGGCCATACAAATTTTTTTAATTTCTTTTTAAAAAATTCACTTTTTTTCGGAATCGGCATTTGGCCATGAAATTTTTAATTTTCACTTGAAGATAAATTTCAGAATTTTTCAAAAATTTAAAAAACTCCAAAATGTTATTTTTCAAAATTTTCACCTCAAATCACTCGCAAAAATTCAAAAACAACCCAAAATTCTATTCATGTCCAAACACAACTCTAACTTTCAAATATAATTTTCACTTGAATTTTTTTTTTATTTTCCTGAATTTTACAATTCTTATATCCAAATGCCCACTAATTCCTTTTTCTGTTTTCTTGTGTTTTTGCCCTTTCTATTTTGTCTTTTTCCTTGTTTGAATTAACTCATTTTGTCCATTATGGTACTCATATTCCATAGTGGTGTTTAAGAAAATAAAAAATTAAACCAAATCATCTAAGAATTTGAAAAGTATTTTAGCTTAGTTTAGTTTGATTTTTAAAGGTTGACACTTGACAATGTTTGGTTTAATTTAGTGTTAAAGAAAAGAAAAAACTTCAAAAGTTTCTCCACTTTCCTTCTTCCATTATTCCTACCTTCACCGTGAGAAAGAACATTTGGACCCGTTTGTCCATAATTTTTTTTTCTTTTTTTAAATAATGTGTGTCCATGAAATTTGTAAGTTTTTTGAGATTTTTTTAACCCAAATTTTTTCAATTTTTTTGAAAAAACGTTTTTTTCCCACTCAGAA